TTTTGATTTATTTTGAGAGCAGAGCCTTTTTTGATTTTCTGCTGGTGCAAACCTACCAAAATATTTTTTTTAATGCATTGTAACTTAATTTCACAAAACTAACAATCCAAGATAAGTATGCTAATTTTTTTTCTTTAAAAAGTTACAGTTATTTTTAGCTGAGTCCAATGAGATTTGAAGATCAGTCACATGGTTAAACTAGAGAGAGTGAAGCTGGCCAGCCGGCTGATCTAAAAATAACCAGAAGGATTCCCCCATTCACACATTCGAGGTGGATGAAGGACTCCTAATTACTATGTTATTGTATTCTGACAATTGGCTGCATGCATTGAATGAACACGAGTTTTCCAATATTCCCACTAGAGAGGGAATGGCCATAGATGGAGGAAAATTTGGTCACTGCTGAACAGACAGAATCATTATCCATTTATGGCCAGTTTTATCTTTCGTGATCTGTTCATTGTGCCTGATGGATTTTAGTCTTTTTGCAGGCAGCTATGTTTATGTTTTTTTGCAGGCAGCAATATTTTTTGCTGTGTTTTACAGCCATTTCTCTTCTAATTAAATTGTTACTGCTCTAGGATACACTTTTTCATAAGGAGAGCTACAAAAGTAGCAAGTGGACAAAAGGTAGTTTTTTGTGTCCTTGGTTGAAGTGTAAGCAGATTGCGTGGGTTAGTTGGAACTGCACAATGTAATCACCTTTTTACTGCATTAGCTAGCAAGACTTCACACACCAAAAGTCTGTTGCATATCACTACCATACACACACAGGCTTTCTTTCTCTTATTGCTTTTTGTAAAGATCCTTGGTAGGCAGAAATGTCCAGACTCTAGATGTATCTGGAGCTCCCTTGCTGTAGGCAGGAATGGTCTCAGCTTGAGCCCACTAGGACTCATTCCAAAGCCCTATTACACAGCTGAAGAGCAAAGAAAGAGCAATGGCAGGTTAGCAGTGTAGACCAGAGAGTGGTTTTACATACTAATTCTTCCTGTTGTTCAGACAGGGGTCTATCCATTAAAGCAAAGAAAACTGTTTTTCCTTCAAGAAACCTCTTGGCACATGTCTAAAACAGGAAGACAAGAAGGAGGTATAATACGCAATTACCCCACACTGTCTCCCTTTCCTCACACTGATAAATATTTGTAAATATCCACTTTAGCTCATTTTTCTATATAAAGGCTAGATCCCTGCTCCTTGCTATGTCTTAGATTTTTTTATGTGTTAACTGTTCATTCACTTCAGTACCAGTATTGGCTTAACGTATATATGAACCCCCATCTTGTAATACAACCCATTCAGCTTAAAATAGAAGTGAAAGCCAAAACATTTATGTATAGATATAAAAAAAATCATTATAAATATTTTTTTCCCCCTTTTTAACCTCCTTAGCGGTTTTCCCGAGTATAGCTCGGGGTAAAATTTGAGTACCAAGAGCGGTAACCCCGAGCTACACTCGGGCTTACCATGCTCAGGGGGTCCCTGCAGTACTTACCTTGTCCTTCGCTCCCGCGATGTGTCCCCTGCAGCATCCCCGGCCATCTCCTCTGGCCGATGCCGGCATCCAGCTTCCGTGTTTCGGTCCCTGTGACGTCGGGACGTACGGGCGCCGGAACCGGCGGGAAATTTGAAATTTTTAAAAAATGTCATTTTTGCTGTCATTGCTGTTTCAATGCATTTCACATACATTTTGTCCCCCACTGCTTTGTCCTGTGCCCTGCTTGCATTTTGACTGTTCTTTCTGCCTGGAAACTTAGAAAAGTCCATGACATCCAAAAAGCGTCCCTTTACGTCAAAAGCGGTTTTAGAACAGCGATAGTAAATCACAACCACTTGCAGAATTGAGTGATAATGATTCGTGGGGAAATTTGTCATCAGACACTGAAAAACGATTTTGCGACTTTGCTCAGCGATGTGCGAATTTGCCTCTGTATTTCAAATTTCAGTGTTTTTGGTTTGATTATATTATTGAATTAAATTTATTATTATTATTATTATTATTTTTTTTTTTATGATTATTTATTAAATTATAATTTATGATTTCGTGTTTCAAGTTTTATCATATCCGGAATGTTTACTAGACTCTTGTTCGGACAGATTTCAGTGAGTTATTCCTAAAAATTACAGCCTACAATAAAAAACTACATATTTCCATGCAAAAAAATGGTACCGCTTTCAGCACAAAAAATTCGGAAAGAATCATACCGCCAGGGAGGTTAAGTGATTACATCCCCTCTGTTTTAAGCTGCATTAAAGTGGAGTTCCACTCAGCCTGTCAAAAAATAAAAGTCAGCAGCTACAAAAACTGTAGCTGCTGACTTTTATTAAAACAGCCACTTACCTGTCCCTAGGTCCCACGGTGTGTCCCCCGCAGCTTGTTTCACTGGCCGTCCTGTATTCCAGGAGGCCGGCATCTTCAGTGTGATAGCTTGTGGCTTCAGAGCCGGGTACCCACTGCGCATGCGCGAGTAGCGCTGCACTTCATGAATGGTCCTGTAGTCTTCTGGGACCTGTCACAGACTCCAGGGAGGGAGGACACCTTTCACTAGGCGATCGGACCGGAAGTAGGAGCGGGTACCTGTCAAATTCGGGTACCCGCTCTCCCCCACTCCCCAAAGGTGCCAATCTTTAATGGGGAGCGGGGGAGCAGTCCTTACAGCGGAACTTCCCCTTTTGGATGGAGCTCTGCTTTAAGGAGTAAGGGGAGGAGACACAACAACACATTTATCTGTCCAGTGAATGGCTGTGCAGGAGGGGAGGGGGCTGTCAGAACATGTTTGATCATGGGAGGGGAGCAAGTTGACTTCCCAGCACAGCTAGGGAACTGACTGACCACACTGCTCTTGTGCCTAGTGTGGTCAGTTTTTAACAGGAAAGCAGAGTGACTGGCAGGACACCAGGGATTTCACACAAAGGAAGCAATACAAAAAGAACAGGATATATTTTCATGCAAGTACACGGTACAGCAGGCACATATCAGGAATATGAAATGTTGGGTTGACATATTTTTTAAGCAACGTATACATCGATTGGCTCCAGCAACTAAGGATCAATGCATTGTCCACATGACTCTCCTCACCTCACAATATTGACTTTACATATTCTTTAATAACCAAAAATTGTCTTTATCATTTGAGTGTTGATGATAGAAAAGTAGGGCTGAGATTCAGGTTTGCCTCTACCATGGGTTCATGGTGAAGCTTGTGGATTCAAGATTTGCGATCCTAGCAATTTGTATGCAAATTCACCTGGGATAATTTTTTAAACCATACTGCACTGAATGGCTTTTAATGCTTTTGCTGACAGAGCCATTTTTGTAATGTTTTGCATACATATTTAAAAAATTAATTTTAGGCCTGAAGATTACATAAACCCCAATACATTATATATTTTCTGAATGCCAGCACCCTATAAAATAAAATAGTGGTAGTTCCAATTTTTATGTCACACGATATTAGCACAACAGTTTATGAAACACAAACTTTCAGTAAAAAATACACTAAAGTGAATTCGGCCACATATTACCCACATTGCTGGTAAAATATAAAAGATGAGGTTGTGTCGAGTAAATAAATACCCAACATGTCAAGCCTTAAATTTGAGGGTCATCACTTACAGTTAAAGTGTTATTAAATGCAGGACCCTGCATTCACTATATCTGGTCTCCCACAGTACACACAACATGGAAATGCAATTATTTTAGTAAATCTAAAATGCTAAATACTTTTTTTCATCAGCAGTTAGAGCAGTCTTATGACTTCTATCAGTGTCCAGCAGAGCACTGGTTGAAGCTTGTAGGAGGAGTTTTCATTCTCTTCTGACTGTCCTATGAGGCTGCATAACCCCTGACCCTCTGTCTGGATAGCGCTGATTGGCCCTGTGCTGATCACATGCACTCTCCCAAAAACTCTATAGCAATACACACCAAACTGAGCATGTGCAGCTTGCTTTTCTATCAGCAGATGGATTGGGGACAGTTGAAAAAGGGTAGGACCAGAGAAGTCAGGATCAAACATCATTTTTACACAATGTGGAGGATTAACCCCTTAGGTTTCTCAGTGAGCATAACAAGCATGCTTTACTGCATATACAGACTGATTTTACTGTTGTGGGTTTAGTAACACATTAACTGTAAATAATGGGTCTGGAACTGCTCTCATATAGACATGTGCAGTAGTATGTAAAGTGTAGCACAAAAAATGAATTTATGTGTGTTGACGCCCCTCAATGCATGCATTTATACTTGTACATGTGTTTATGTGGGAGTTTGGGGGTCTCAAAATTTTGTTGGGGGAGAAGTTAAGTGCTTGGGTGTAACTTTAATTTGTTGCCCTTTTTTTTTACATCTTTTAAACATTTTTTTACTTTTTCATCACATGGGGACAAAAAGTCCCCTTTGTGATGCATTTTTTGGTGACAAGTGTTCAAAGACCCCTGATGTCTCACCTGTCCTCCATTGAAACTAATGCAATGAGGATCTCACTGCATTCGTTTATTACCTGGCCATACTAGCTGTGGACATGGGGACCTGGAAGTGACATTTTACATTTACACTTCTGGGTCACAGGAAGGGAAGACCAGTGAACAGAAGCCACCTGCCTTGCTCATACTCAGAGCAGGGGCAGCCATTACTGGGGTGTGTGAAAGCAATCTGACAGCTGCAGAGCCACCAGATCCCTTCCATCTGACAGCTGACTTAACCACTTGCCCACCGGGCACTTATACCCCCGTCCTTACCAGGCCAATTTTCAGCTTTCAGTGCTGTCGCACTTTGATTGACAATTGTGTGGTCATGCAACATTGTACCCATATGAAATTTTTATCATTTCTTTCTCACAAATAGAGCTTTCTTTTGGTGGTATTTACTTGCCGCTGGATGTTTCATTTTTTGCGCTATAAAACAAAAAAAGAGCAAAAAATTTGAAAAAAAAGGCAGCACTGATGGGCACTGATAGGCAGCACTGAAGGGCACTGACAGGTGGCACTGATAGGCTGCACTAATGAGGTGGCACAGATAGGCGGCACTGATAGGTGGAACTGATAGGCGGCACTGATGATGGGTACTGATAGTCAGCACTGATAGGTGGCACTGACTGGCAGCACTGCTGGGCACTGACTGGCACAACTGCTGGGCACTGACTGGCAACACTGCTGGGCTGCACTGATGGGTGGCACTGATGGGCAGAGGTAGGTGGCACTGATGGGCACAGGTGGGTGGCACTGATGGGCAGAGTTGGGTGACACAGGTGGGTGGCACTGATGGGCACAGGTGGGTGACACAGGTGGGTGGCACTGATGGGCACAGGTAGGTGGCACTGCTGGCACTGGTGGGTGGCACCGCTGGGCACTGGTAGGCGGCACTGCTGGGCAAAGGTGGGTGGAACTGGTGTGTGGGCACTGCTGGGCACCAATCATCAGGGCACCGATCATCAGTGCCCTGATGATCAGTGCCGATCCCTGTTCTGACAACTGCCGTTCTGACAGCATGAGGAAAGTGCAGCCGAGAACAGGCAATTGCATTTCCCTGTGATCAGCGTGTCATTGGACACAGCTGATCACGTGGTAAAAAGCCGCTGTGATTGGCCTTTTACCATATCACATGATCAGCTGTGTCCATAGGACACAGCGATCACTGAGATCACCGGGTGCGCAGCCCAGGGGGCGTGCAGGAGAGCGCGTTCTGGGAGGAAGTCATATGATGCCCTCCCAGAACTGGCCGGCCGCAGTGTAGCCGTCATTCAGCTATCTTCAGTCGGCAACTGGTTAAGCTGGCCATACATGGGTAGAAATTCTGAAAGAATTTTCTTTAGAAAATCTTGTCTAAAAATTTTTGTTAGAATTTCGCACCATTAGTGACTCACAGAAACAGCCGATTTTCGAGTGATCATCGAATTTGAGTGATTGGGCATGTTAGAAATATTTTGAAAAACTAACAAATTTCGAATCAATGATGGGAGAATCATGCGAGAAATATAAATGAAAAAGAAATGAGCGTGAGCTGTGACCTGGAAAGAGAAGAAAATTCTTGGCCATGAAAATTCTTTTCTGTAACAACATTAGGTGAAATTGAAGGCTTGGTTGTTTGACTTTCAAATCAATGGTGGCACGGTCAGATTACAAAATTTCTGATTTTCTAAAGAAAATTTGTTTGGAATTTGACCCATGTATGGCCTGCATTACACTGTTGGATTGTGTAACTCCCCTGCCTCCCCGCTGCCTATGTATGTAGTTAAATGGTTAAACTTGGCCAACAAGCTTAGAAGGATCAGTAAAAGGGATGTTGGATAAGTGAGCCCTCTCACTATAAAGGGGATTGCAGCAAGACTTCACTTTAAAAACAGGTTTTTCTATAGGGGGTACTAATTTGTTTTAATTGAGTTTGCATGTTCTCCCTGTGCCTGTGTGGGTTTCCTCCGGGTACTCCGGTTTCCTCCCACACTCCAAAGACATGCTGGTAGGTGAATTGGATCCTGTCTAAATTGGCCCTAGTATGTGCATGTATGAATGTGAGTTAGGGACCTTAGATTTTACACCCCTTGAGGGTTAGGGACTGATGTGAATGTATAATATATATGTAAAGCGATGTGTAAATTGACGGCGCTATAAAAGTACCTGAAATAAACAAATAAATAAATACATTTTGGGGTTATATTCTTAAAAATAAATAAATATAAATTTTATATATATATTTAAATAAATAAATATAAATATATATATATTGCTAATGCCTTTATTTTAAGTTAAACTGTTTTTTTACGGCTTCCCTTCAAAAAAGTGGGGTTTTGTTTCTGGGTGGTTCTTTGAGGTTCTAATTTTTTCTGCATTTTTTAATTTTTATATTATGTTGATCTCCTAGATTGTAAGCTCGAAAGAGCAGGGCCCTTGAACCCCTCGTATAGTGTATTGTTACTGTCTTGTCTAATGTTCTGTCCCCCTTGCTACTGTACAGCGCTGAGCATACCCTTTGGCGCTATATAAATACTGTATAATAATATGACTTTTTTTCAAATATTTTGGGTGCTTACAGCAGAACATTCAGTTGTCACTAATCATCTGTCCTTGTATTGAACTGTATTGTTGCTATATTGTAAAGTGCTGAGCGAACTGTTGGCACTATATAAATCCTGTATAATAATAATAATAATAATCAATTCTTAGGTGTGATGGCTGTATTAGTTTTCTTTTTTAGGCTTTTCTTTATTTTCATCTGGTGATCTAGCCAGTAAGTATGTTGTATGTTGGAGCAAACTCTCCAGCAAATGTAGCAGTTAGAGTGTTGAAGCAAAACTTTTACCACTGATATGGGTGCTTACAATGATCCACTTTTATTTATTTACTGTATGTAAACCCTTTATCCCAAAAGAAAACAAATTGTTGCTGTAGCTGCTTGTGTAGATGCAGTGTGAGCTGGAGTCTGGCTTCAATTTCTAGTATATCTAAATCTTCTAGTCCTAACACTCCCTGACTGACAATGCTGCTGTCCAAAGGTGCCCCCCTGTACTCCTTCATCCAGATTGGGGGCTCCCTAAGAGGGGCGGACTGACAACTCATGGGGCCCCCGGGAAATAGGGGATCATGGGGCCCCTGTGTCCTTTCCCACACTCAAAAAAGCCTATAAAAAGGTACCAGGGGTATTTCATGGGGCCCCCTACTGACCCCGGGCCCTCGGGCAGTGCCCGAGTGCTCGAATGGTCAGTCCGCCCCTGCTCCCTAATACAGGAGGTGTTTTACTGGCCAGATCAAGTGAAAACAGGGAAAATAGCTAAAAAAAAAACAAACTAATGCAGCCACCACATCTAATGTATTGGTAAGTTGCAATATATTACTTTTTTTGTTTTTGGTTTATTATCACTTTAAGCTCTCATTTTTTGTCGCAGGCTGCTTCAACATTTGAAAGAAAAAAAAAATGGAGTGCAAGAGCCATATGCACATAATAACTCACATTAAAGCACTTCCATTCAGTGTATCCCCCTATTGATGAAATAAAAATTAGACATAAAAAAATTAGACCTGTTAGCATAACAGCCTAAAAATGTGTGCATTCTCAGTGTTGCCCTCAAAGCTGCAAGGATACTATAGATCCTTCCCGCTGTGCAGTATTTTTTGTCCCCCATGGTAGTGCCCAGCTTAACATGCCTTTTTTTTTACAGTAGTTTGCCTATTGCCTAAAAATGGTCTGAATTTAAGCACAAGATTTGTCCTCCCATAGACTTTAATGAGATGATGTTCTTAATGATGCGACTATGAAATGTTATGGTAGAGCGCACTGATTATGAGATATTCACAGCAAACTGCTGGCATATTGTTTCACAGTCATGCAGTTGTAATTTATTTTACTATCTTTTTCACATTCTCTGCAACAACCTTTCTGTTCAAAATAGGCACTTGAGTAATATTTTAAAATAATTACCGGGGACATTTTGTTGCTAAATCATGTACTTAGGTTAATTAAGGTGCCTGCTGACCGATTCATTTCATATTATTGTGGTGATATTTTGACACTGCAACAGTAAGGATTTGGAGTAGGACAGTTGTGACACTGATAAGGTAACCCATCCCTAAATCCCAGAATTAAAGCGACCTTCCAGTGAAAATAAAAGAAAAATATAAGTCAGCAGTTACAAATACTGTAGCTGCTGACTGTAGCCACTTACCTGTCCCTTGATCCTGCGGTGTTCCCCCCCGCAGCCATTTCACAGGCTGCCCTGTATTCCCGATGCTGGCATCCTCAGTGTGGGCACTCGGCTGTGACAGCTTGTGGCTTCACAGCCGGCTGCCCACTGCGCATGCACGAGTAGTGCCACAATTTGTCCTGTGTCCCAGAAGACTACAGGGAGGGAGGGGACAAATTTTGTTTCCGATCGCCTAGGTGATCGCAGCGGAAGTAAGAGTGGGTACCTGTCAATTTTGGGTAATCGCTCCAAGGTGTCAGTCCTTAACGGGGGACCAGTCTGTAAAGCGGAACTTCCCCTTTTGGGTGGAGCTCTGCTTTAAGGATGAAGTTAGTATTAGTTAGGGTTTTAAGTTGGAGTAAATTTAAATATTAGGAAATAGATACACTGTTGAGGATAAAGGAATAAAATCTGTGAAGAGCATATTTTGGAAATGCTGAAGTGTTTTACTCAGGCACCAAGTTTCAGGATTTTGTTTCCTGGGCTGTCAAGGGCAGTATTATAGGAACATAGGAATATTTCAGGTGCAAAAAGTGCACAAAATTGCTAATTTACAGGTGATCCAATTGAAGCCTTTGGGATTAAAAAAAAAATAAAAAAAAAATCCTTAAGTATTTTTTGGAGCATAGGGCATAGTGCATAGGTGTGCAAGTGTGAACAGGCATAATTAGAAAGAATGGAGTTCTCTGTAGTCAGGCATAGTGAAGTGTTGTCACAGAATAGAGCAGTAAAATGCTCAAATGTGATGGGGCTAAGGAGATGCTAGAACCTCTACCATATCTATGTTAAATACTCATTTTGTCTAGGGGATGAAAAGTAGGGTAAAATGTTCCCTTTGCTCTTTACTCTCACTTTATTTCTTCTCTTGGCAGGAGTCCCCCAAAAATTCTCTTCTTCACTGCCTGATTGGTTGCTACTCCCTAATATCATCATATCTAATGCAGGGCCAGTGGTCCTGCATTGTATGTGAAGATGCTAGACCAAGGCACTGTCCATATCCTATGGGCAATGGCAGTGGACAAGAATTAAAACTGCCAGGAGAGTGAATATTTTGCATTATTAATAATCTTCTAGAGAAAATGAGCTACTAGCCCTTGCAGTGCCGAGGTGGATCTGCTGCAAGGTTAACTTTTTCTCCATTTTGGAGTTCAGCCTTAAAATTGAACTTTAGGCAGATATAAACAACACTGATTAATGCAGCGCTGTATTCATTTATGCATCTTTAAATATATATTTTTTTAATGCAAACAGTGGAAATACATGAATTTTACCTGGTATCAGTCTAATGAGTTCCCCTGTACAACAGAGATCAGACCGGGAAAGGAGAAGCTGCAAAAAAAGCTGTGTTGCATCGCAGGGAGCATGCAGAAAGATAGCACAGAATGAAAGAGAGATTAGCTCATCAGTTTAATGCTTTTCCTTTTACTTCCCAGTCACTGTTTGAGCAGCAGAATTGACTAATGTCTTCTGTCCTGATGGACAGGGGTGTGCTGATGGATCTGGATGGATCTTAGAACTGGATGGATATAAATACAAATCTTTGGCAAGGTAAAATATCTGCCATATCTGTGTTTAGCTGTTTGGAGTTCAAATTTAAAGGTGAACTCTGGGCAAAACATGAACCCCTCCCATCTCTACCTCCTACCCTAATCTAACTAAAGACTGGGCATCTAAATGCCCTTTTGGTTACCTAAAGCTGTGGTCACCTGATATTCTAGCCCCAAGTCTTCCTTCCTTTTCTCTTTACATGAGGAGGGGTCTTTCTTCAGGCATCCACCACTTCCAACTGGCTTTGCAGCATTGGGGTCCTCCCGGGATCTAGAAGAAGAGAGACATCAATGTGAGGGGACTGTTGAGAAATGTCCTGCATGGGCACATCTG